TACTTCGGTTTCCTCTGACAATCTTCATTCCACCAAATTCTCCATCATCATAATCCCCCTGGGGGGGGGGCACGCAGTAGCATAGTTGGTTGAGGGACTGTGCTACAAGCCGGAAGGTCGTGGGGTCCAAGTTCCGATGAGGTCATTGGATTTTTTCAATTGACCTAATCCTTCCAGCCGCACTATGGCCCTGGGGTTCACTGAGCCTCTAACAGAAATGAGTACCAGGAATTAATTAAATAATTTTTCTGGGGAGTAAAGCGCGGCCGTTGCGTAAGGCTGACAACCTTACTCGTACTGCCATCTTTGAGCCAATTGTCTAGATAATGTGGGACCCTCAACGTCTCACAACCCTAGGGACTTTCAGGGCCTGTTACAGGGATAGCTTTACTTTACTTACTTACTTACTTACTTACATAATCACCAGGGGCAGGCTACAATAGGCCAATCAGTGTCCTCCGTGCCGAGTGGACCCAACTGGACTTCACACCCCACTAAGCGAATTTAATTTAATTTTAAGTTCTTTTTAACCAGTTTCCATAGATATTGTCTTCTACGCATTAGCAATTTTCTCCATTTCTAGGTTTTCTTTGATATATTAGTTGTTTATACTGTCTTGAAGACTCTGGGGTTTCCCTCTAATCTGCCCTTCTCTATTAAACTGTGTTCAAAGTGTGTCATTTTAAACAATACAACATTCGACCGTCAGGACATTTGTTGCATTTCCTATCACAAGCATTTCTTGTAGGTGTTGTGTTTTGCACTAGTAAGAATGGTAGGTCAAAGCTCTGAAGCAGTTATCATTCATTTCAACTGGAAGACAACAACAAATTCCAGGTTGACGATTTAATTTTGTGATGTCAAATTAATAGAAATTTACTGTATTTACTACAAGCACTTCAGGCAAATGGACCAATGGAAATAAAAGGTTGAAAACACTGGTTTTCGTGTGATCACCAAAGTTAAGCAAAATTGGTTGCACTTAGTACTTTGATGGGTGACCGCTTGGGAACACCACGTTCTGTTGGAATTTTTAGTGAGCTGTGATAGCGCAGTCGGTACAGCAACTAGCTACTGGCAGGATGCCTGAGTGGTTGGAGTTTGAATCCAGTTGGGGTAAAAATTTTTCACTTCTCCATGTCATCCAGACCAACTCTGTGTTCCACCCCCAGGGAAAGCGGCTGGGGCGTGAAACTGACCACTCATCTTCAACAAGGGGCAAGGTCAAGAAAACGTGGGTCTATAAATCCATTCACCTATATCTCTTCATGGCATAGTGTTTACTTAGGTAACTACAGGGTCACTTTTACCTTTAGCTTTATCTGAGGCAAATGAACATTTTAACAGGTTACATGATATGCTACTGTATATCAACCATAAAGCTGGAGGCAGAAAGCTCCTCCAAAACATCGGTATCTTCTCAGAAGACTATATGGCATAGCAACCCATGAGATTAGAGCCTTAACAAACATAGAAATGGAAACCTCAGAAGTAATGTAGTACTCCTTAGTTCTACTAGAAGTAAATCTCTTAGTATGTGTGTCACTTTCAGATGTAAAAACATGTTCATACAATATTCCTAATGAAACTTTTATCTCAGTTTATATTGACAGGAAATGTATTAAAAATAGAGAACATTTTGTATTAACTACTTTACCTTGCTATTTCAGGGACATAAATTTAAATTATTTAATCATATGAACAGACTGTTCAGCTATGCTCCTAAGCATAGAAATATGTCACACTGTTTGTCATCTTACTTATGTTAGCATATTGCATATTGCATATTGTTTTTAGTTAAGTACTTTGCATGTATTCATATTGATTCCACAGCAAAAGTTAGGTTAGCAGTATGAATCCCAACCTAGTTTTGTCTAAGTGCAATAACATAAAAGCCCCCAAAAGTGGAATACAATGAAACACACCAAAATTGTATTTAAACAGTCATATGTATTATTAGTTTTACCTTTCATTACATTTGAAAATTATTTCTAACAACATTTACACCAGTTTAACAATAAATATGAAAAGAATGACCAAACAAAGTTCTCACTAATATAATAGTTTTCTGTAGTAGGCCACAATTAACCTTTAGTTACAGAGGAAATGAAACAACAAAATTAATAAATTTTAAATTTATTTTAATAACGCCTGACACAACTTACACGATGAGTAATGTTTTTATTGAAAACCACTACATATTTTGATCTCGCAGGTCATCATCAGGTAGTACAATAATTATAAACTTTATTATTGAATTGTCATATTATCTCCGATAACTATGTTATTTAAGTATGGATCTGGTTTTAATAGGTTTATATATACTGCAGTTTTCATGATGTGCAGTGTAAATATTTCCCCACACCAAGAAAAAGAATGGTATGATAAGAACTTAACTCATGGACTTGCTGATAATATAAAATAAAAGAAACATATATTGTGAAGATATGTGTTAGTATGAGCAATAACTGTTATTTTAACCATCAGTATTTTATATTTATATTTATATTTTGTCATTATTCATCGATCCATTGAGGTACATAACCACTGAATATAGAAATTGTCAGTAGATTACATCGATATATAAAATGTTTTTATCTAAGCAGTCATAGGGGCACGTGGTAGCGTAGTTGGTGGAGGCACTATGCTACAAGTCGGAAGGTCGCGGGTTCAAGTCCCGTTGAGGTCATTTGATTTTTTTCAATTGACCTAATCCTTCCAACCGCACTATGGCCCTTGGGTCAACTCAGCCCCTAACAGAAATAAGTACCAGGAATTAATTAAATAATTTTCCTGGGGAGCAAAGCATGGCGGGTGTGTAGAGCTGACAACCTTACCACCATCTTTGAGCCGATTGTCTAGAAAATGTGGGACCCTCAACGTCTCACAACCCAATGGGCCTTCATGACCTGTTACAGGGATAGGTTTACTTTTTACTTTCTTTTTTACTAAGCAGTCATGTTGTTAAATATGCATGAAGTGACTTCCCTGTACTAGGAACATACCAATTACAATCAAAATATTAACTACTGATATTCGTTTTGGTACAAAAATTTCTGAAGAAACAACATTCTACATAATACCTCACACACTATTATATGAAATTCATATTCAACAATACATTCTGTATCTCAAAAGTCACCTTATAAAATCACTGTTACTACAGCAATTCATCATGACTAGTAACTGTTAATCTCACTTACTTACTTCATGCACTTTTAACACGGCTTCTCAGACCAAAGGATATTCGGTATTCATGGTTAATTAAAGTGAAATACAGTTACTATTAGTACTCACACATATCCTCATAATATGTGTGTTTTTTTTTATTTTGTAGTATCAACAAATGTATGAATTTAGTTTTTTGTTGTGCTTCTTTTATTCAGAAAATATTTACACTCTAAAATTTTCAGTCTGTATAATACGGTGCAAATTAATTGAAAACTGACTCCATACACGTACTTCAGAAAGATAAATATAAAGGATAACATGACAATTGAAAACAACGTTTATAGTTAATGTACTACTGATGTTGACCTTTGAGGTCAAAACATGCAGTGGTTTTAAATGAAAAAAAAATTAATCATCATTGAAGTTATGTTTGCTGTTATTAAAATAAATTTGATATTTATAAAGGCTGAACACAACACAATGCAGAATTAAAATAAAACGAGACAACATTTCACTCCATAACTTTGTGCCATAGTTCTCTCTATAAACATTCCTTGTAAAAATGCTGGTGTTCATTTTTTCAGTATCTTTGCTTTTGAAGTTATTTCTCAATGGCAGAAATATATGCAGTGCACTTCTTGTAACTGGCCTTTGGAGTTATCAAATTTTGGGGATTTCCAAGATTAGTAATAATTTTATGGATTTTATAGCATAAAGGGACTGAGCCTATGTAATCTACTGCTACAGTTAGAGCTCATAAGAGATAGTGCTAGCTGATAAAATGTTCCATTTACAGCTGTAGAAATATAAATATTCTGATCTAATTGGTCAATTGTATATCATTATTGCTTTAGGCTCCTCTGGACACATCACTGTAAATTGCTGTTATTCTTAATAAATATTGTTCGAAATTTTCATTAACATTGTTAACAGAACCTGATGATTCAACACTATTAACAAAGCCCGCCATCTGACCTGCTTTAGAGCCAGTTCCATCCACTTTCAGTCACCACTAAATCTTCAAATTGGTCACGTTCTGGTAGTTTTCCCACCAGAATTGTGTATTTATTCGTTACTTCATCCCATCCTACTCTCATGACCAGCGCACTGTAACCCCTAGATTTTACTATTCTAATGACACTAGGAGTTGTGTATAGATCACTGAATTCCTCGTTATGCAATATCTTAGACAGCTTGCTTCATAGGACCAAGTGTTTTCTTGAGCAGTGTGTTTTCAGGCATGTTTTCCCTCTAATGCATTTTTATTTTCAAATTATACATATGTTTTCTCTAAATATAAAATAATAATCATCTTGAAGGATGCTGTCTGGTGCCATGTAGATCTTGTGTGAACTGACTGCAGTCACCTGCTCACGCTGGTTCCTTGCTCATGAATTTTTCTACCCAGAAGATGGAATCGATATGTTCCTCCAAAACGTCAGTTCACACAAGATCTTCACGGCGCCACATCCCAGAAGACAACATTCTTCATAGTCACCAGTGTGAAAATCTCAAATTTTACACTGAACATCTTAATTGTGTTTTCAACTAACTTCCCTAAAAACGTCACTTTCTACATTAGTTAAGGGGGAGTTAACTCTAATTCAGTTAATCCTTTGTGCTCTACTCTGAAAGGCATGGCCTGAAACTATCTGTAAAGTACCACCTTTAAAAATACTACTGACTTACTGGTCCTTAGTCTTTTCCTCTGTCCATGATATAAGCTTATTATAGGGATAAAATGGGTTTAACATGGTCATAAATTTTCTGAGTTGATTTTTAACAAACATTTTCAGTTACTGTGTTTGTTACATTGATTATTCATAATTATAAAAATTCAACTATGGGTTTGAGGAGCCTTCTTTAGATTAGAATTTGTAGTGGCAAAAGGTTTCACATTTTATTTCAAGGCAATTATGGGAGATAAAATATTCTTGGATTATAAATAAACTGTAAGGTTTGGAGAACTGTACCAGAGTTCCATATTCTTAAAGAAAAACACAATGAGTGTCTGCTCTGATCTCTACTTTGTAATACAGTAAATTATTATGTCATTATTTTAATACTGGATTATAATTGCAAATGTCTATTATTCCATAAACTCTGAGACTCAAAGTCACAATGTAGAATATCATTTTACAACATTTCTCCTAATTTCAATACTAAAAACTTTGTATTAACATTTATGTCACATGTACACTTTCTCATTCAGATAAAGTTGCTGAGTATAGTGCGATTATATCATCCATGTATCCATAAACAAGTGCCAAAATTTTGTTTCAATTTGTTCTCAGAACATTTCAGTATTTGGTAAGTGCAGAATAACTCATTCAGTTCCCTTAGACAATTCCCCAGACACTTTCAGTCCTCTCTGAACAAAATATACAGTGCACTCAGGATGGAGGCAAATAAGGAATTAAGTTGCAATGCTGACTTCAGATTCACCTGTCATACACATAAGATTTGAAAGGACATTCAGTAATTTGCTTATTATGTTAGCTGTTTACCAAACACACCTAATGTTAGTTTAAAATATATTTTTTTCATCTGGTAGCACACAAAACCACATATGTCTGTCCATTTTTGGGTTTTTGTATACATCTTGAGCTCAATTAAAATCCTGCAGAAGTATCTTAAAACTTTTCTTTCCATTCCAAAGTAATATTTCTGAAGTGTGTAACTCAGGCCATTGTGTCCTACCAAGATACTTACCATATATTCAGTCCAATTGGAAATATAAATTAAGGAAGTGCTCACAGTAATGTTCTGCAGAATGCTTGTCTTGTTATGGGTCTATCCTATGATATCAAATTTAAACCCACCTCTCAGCACCATGGTGCTATTTAATTTAATATGACTTATAAACGTAGCCAAAGTATATAAAAATATTGCAAGCCTGGGTCACTTCAAGATGCATCATAATTAAAATGTAATTTCTTTAAATAAAGGGAACTTAGTCTCCATACTAAACCACACATATTAAAAATTTGCACAGTGTCAAATACATTCAGGATTGGTTTAAAAAAGACTGCATTTAAACAAAACTGAAGTTCTAAATCCTTTATTCTTCTAGTGAGATGGCAAGGAAGTGCTCTTCATATAATTCCTGTATAGCTTGATGAAGTACTTGAAAGAAAAGACCGCACAGATCTCTCCTCTACTCTGTCGCTGTCAATCATATGTAACTTTCCTTGAACCATAAAAACAAATTGCTGTCATACTACATGTCTGACATATTTTTTGCTCATACGGTTGAGGCTATCCTAGTAAATTGGAAGCAGAAAGTTGAGTTTTGTAATGTTTTCATGAATGGTAAATTCATAAAGGTGAGGGCCTCCTCATTGTGTTGAGGATTACCATAGCAAGTTTAATTCTGAATTTGAACCCTCTCAGTGGATTGAAGCCATGAAGGTCATGGTTTGATCTATCTCACTGATTTCAATTCATAAAGTCCAGAGCTATATAAATAGGCTGAATTCATAAAATTAAGAGCTATCTCTGATTTGGATCCATGGACTTAGGGGTCGACTGAATGAACTGATTAAAAAATTTTGAGGCATAAATGGACGAAATTCCTGAAGTTAAGAACTATCTCAAATTGTTCATCACATGAAGTTCAGGTTATTTCAATTAGTTGGAATTAGGTAGTTAAGCGTTACTCAGTGGGTAGGATTCATAAAGTTGAATGTAGCTGTAATGATGGATTTAATTTCATAAGTCAAGAATTGTTTCAATGATATAGATTTGTATACATGAGGTTATGCTAGTTAGTTAAATTCATGAGGATGGAAGTACCCAAGGAAGATGGATTAGTGAAGTTGAGGGCTATGTCAGGTGGCTGAATTCATAAAGTCCTAGTGAGCTGAATTCATGAAGCTGAGACTGTCACAGTGTTGTATTCATTACTTCATTTTATTCAGTATTTCAATGACATGGACAAATGAAGTTGAGCGCTGTCTTATTATGTTGAATTTAAAAGGATGAAGCTGTCTTAGTGAATTCAGTTCATTTAGTTAAGAAATAATTTAATGGGCTGAATTCATTAAACTGAGGGTAGCACAGTCAGTTTTGATTCATGAAGTTCAGAATTTCTCTGCGATTTGGATTAATGGTGTTGAGGTTATCTCACTGAGCTGGACTTGTAAAATTGGTGTCTTATCTCATTAGGTTCGTTTCATGAAGTTGAAGTTGCTGTAGTGGATTTTAATCATGAAGTTTGGTTTCCATATATCTGATTGCTTGAATTCATGGAGTTAAAGCATGAGAATTAAAATTATGGTAATGTTTTTGGCTTTTTGTAGGATGTTTGTGCTCCTGCTGTCAGATAATTTTCAGTTGATTGCAATTTTACAGGGAGGAAACAGATGTATCTTTAAAGAGCATGCTGAATCCCAAGGTCAAACATCAGATTCAGCTGTTCTCTCTTGTCATTAAATGTCACCACAACACATCTCTCACTTTACAGATGTTCACCGTCCACATGTTGGCAGGTTCACCATAAAGAAAACATTGAGTTCAATAAGGGATGCAAGCACAAGAAACATTCCATACATAATCAGGCAGGCCTGGCCCACCTTGCGGTCCAGTTGGAACTTGTTGCACGAAAAGGTGGCATACAACAGTAGTAGAGTTGACAATAAAGATATGGCACTATATTCGAGTCCCCGTGAATTGATCCCTACGAAGTGTTGTCCTTCGGTGGTAGGCAAAAATGAAGCTTTAATGAGCCATGGCAGTCCCAGACACAGCAAGATGTCAAATGTATTTGAGCCAATGGAATTGCTAATTCCCATAGACCCATGCCCTGTAACAGACAGCAGCAATTTCAAAGTTATACCAGTGCCCACGTAGAATCATAGTTATGCAATTTGTTATACTCTTTCTTTGAGGAGACTGACACATAATGACTCAATTTAGCAAGAATTAAGGTGAATGTATTTCAAGCAGTGTTATGTTAGAGAGTGGAGGAGAGAAGGTAGTAGTAGTTCATTTTATCAATCTCCAATATTTATCCCATTTTCAGATATTGTGCTCTGTAGGTCTATACACTATGTTTTAGTACACTGAATATGCTAAGTGACAATGAATCTTAATGTTTTACTTATATTGGCGGGTACACCAAACACAATTTATGTACTTTATAGACCATGTAAAAATTTATTAAGCATGGTAAATTTCAGTTGCAAGAGTGTTAGTGTTTGAATAAATTCCTTTGTATCACTGGTTCTGCTATAATACTAACATTCACACATATGTGTTTTCCCTATCAAAAATGCATTAAACCAAATGTTCCATCTGGTATTACCAATACACCTTTAAAGTGTAGTGACTCTGGATTTCATTATGAGATTTGACAATTACTTCAATAGCAGTTATATAAAATATAACATTTTGTTTAATCCAATTCTCTTCAAATAATTTTTAAATAAGAGGAAATGAAAGACACACCTATGGAGTTTGACGTATGATAATATGAATAAAGTATAAAAAGAGAAGAAGCAATGCTGATGCAATTGTGAATAGAGAATGTTACATAACCTTAGCTGGTGACACAGTGGCATTAATAAGTGTACAGCTGAACCTAATCTACAGCTGAATGCAATAGCTTCCAGTAACATGAAGAGGTAAAACACCTTGTTTGGTGACAAGATAGGGGATTCAGATAAGTTAGAAAAGTTGGGTTAGGTTAATAGTTCTAAATAAAGCCTGTGCACGTTGAGAAGCCATACAATTAGTACTCTTCACTGAACATTATTAAGAATGTCGAGTCATGGACAATGGGACGTGTGGGGCTTGTGTAAAATATGAGGGAGAATGAGGAGAGAAACCGTTTTGGATGCCTAGTCACAGATTATGGAATAATACTGAAATGGTTGTTAGGATATGGATCAGAATAGTGCTGAAAGGTAATGGTAGATTGGTAATGAACTTTCAGATTCCATAAATGGTGGAGAATATCATGATTCAGATGAGTGTTAGTTACTCATGATTCGCTCTGCTCCATGGAGTTAGTTTTAAATAAAACCTATTATGTAATTCAACACTGTATTGCAAAGCTATACCCAAATAAAAATGCAACTGTCAGTATGTCACAAGTAAGGAGCAAGAAAAGCAAAGTAGTCCCTGTGCGTAATCACGAGGGAGAGCCAGTAAATAGGTCACAAATGGAAGTAAAACAGCTGTAATGAATGTACATAATAAGTTCTCTTTGTGTGTCAGTAGGTAGTAATATAGTCCACCTTCATGACGGTCTAAGTAGCAGAAGTACATGCACAAGTTCACAGGTTGGTTTAAGTAGTCAAAATGGCGTCCGTGCCTGAGGAGTATTCTACCAAAGAGCAGCGACCTGTTGTGTGCTTTTTCTGTGAGAAAGAGACTCAATGTAAAGGATGTTCATAAAGGAAAGTTTCCTGTTTATGGTGGGAAGTGTTTGTCATGTAAAGTGGTTCACAACTTGGTCGGAAAATTCTCTCAAGGATGTTCAAAAGTCGCAGATGATGCCTGACCGGGTTTCCCCGTTGAGACTGCGACAGAAGCAACTGTGTAGCAGATGGAAGAGCTCATTCTTGCTGACAGGAAGAAAACGGTAGACAGTGTAACAACCACACTACGGTGTTCCCATTGTTTAGCATGCAGTATAATGAACGAGGATTTGATGTTTCAGAAAGTGGGCGCACAGAGAACTGAAGGATCTAGAAAAAATGAACCAAATGGTTCTTTCCTTGCAACATCTCTTACAGTATGTGAAGGAGAAGATATGCTTAACAGGCTTGTTACTGGGGACGAATCAGTGGCGCATCACTACCAACCCAAATAAAAGTGTGTTTCAGTGCAATGGAAACATTCTAGATCACCTTCCACCGAAAACCTTTAAGGTTATGCTATCAGCTGGGAAGGGTATGCCTACTGTGTTCTGGGAACCCCAGGTAGTACTGTTAGCCCATTTGCAGAAGCATAGCAAAATGTGAATTCTGCATCATACTGTGGAGTTCTGTTGAAGCTTTCAGATGTAATTTGCAGAAAAGGTCCAGGCCAAGTGGCAAGAGGGGTCCTGCTTCATCATGACACTGCCCAGTGACTGAGCCCAAGTAACCAGGAGAGTTCAAGAACTACAATGGGAACTTCTTGAACATGTGCCTTATAACTCTGACTCCATCTGTTTAATCCACGAAAAAGCCACCTTGGTGACAAAGGTTTCACTGATGACGAAGAGGTCAGATATTTCGATGTTGCGGGTTTCGATGCACTGGTAAAACAACTGGACAAGTGTATCAATGTCGGTGAAGAATATGTTGAGAAATTAATATTTTTCAGGCCCAAATATATCGTGTTTTACATTTTATAACCATTTGTGACCAATTTACTGACTCTCCCTTATAATCCAGCATCACATCATGAAGATGTATAGTGAAGTGGAGGTATAGTTCCACCATTCTTGACCTCGATATTAGATAAAGTTGTTGTGGTCAGCTTCACACTCTGGCCTGTGTATTCCCGGGGACAGAACCCCTGGTACCCATTGAACAGCAAGCTGAGTGGGCTCCAGGGCCTGTCTGAATACTGTGGAGAGAAGAAAAATCTCTTGCCCATGCCAGAAACTGAAACCCTGCCATTCAGCCCACAGTCTGTCTCTACACTGACTGAGCTATCCTGGCTCTTACATCAGATGTTAGTAACTGAATTTACTGCAAACCAAAATGGAACATATAATTTTAAAAACTATAAGACATCAATGTTTTCCTTTATTTTAACATCTTTCCCTCAATATTTATTCATGTTTTTGTTTCTTAATAATTTTGTTATGGATTTTTATACAAAAAAACATTCCATCACGTTTTGTAATATGTAAATCTACTCACCCTGTTTAGCCACAATCACACTAGAGACTGCTTCTGGGACACTGGTCCCTGCTGCCAGGAATGTGATACCCATAACTGAATCTGGAATTTTTAGTGTGTCGCCTGAAAAGTATTAGAAAAATCAGACATTGCTCTTAATTAAACCAGTCAGCTTAAAGAAGACTAATGAGTTCATGGCTGAATGCATCTACCGACTAAGTCCATTGCCCAGGGTACTCCTTGAAACAATGATAGGTTATAATGTAAGATTTTAAGCTTCCATAGTGAACAAATGTGCTAAAATCTTCTCAGGCGATTAGGCATGTCAGTACTGACTTAAAACCAGCATTTCAGAGATATAACATTGACATGGCTGATCTCTCAAAATTATTTTAGCACATCGATAGATATTCATCTGGTCACAAAATTACATAGAATCGGAAGCTTAATTAAAATGTTCACAAAGGCCTACCATTGGACCCTATGTCTGGTATTTGTGGGAGAATTGTATAGCAATAATAAGTTGTAATAATATCCCGCCATTTCAATTCGTTTTGCGGAAAGTGCTGACATTATATAACATAAAACATTTTAAGCTGGCAGCAGGGTACGACAGCGGTCACTCACACTGCGGCCCTTTCCAAGTTCTGTTCAAAGGAATTAGCTTATTTACAAATATTTCTAGTCGGAATCCCTCGCCTTTTATAACACTGTTGCTCAATAAAACCCCGTCTGTCTTCAGTTTCTCGCCCTTGACCGTACAGAAAAGATACAGCTGACGAAAGGTTCTCAGTGTGGAAAGTTCAGTTCTGTGTTGCACTAGAGTGATTCATTTTATCACGATACCTAAAGCAAAGCCATTTAAATCGTGTCATTTAAAGTAGATTGTAGCTGAATTTGGAGATGATATATTTTCAACTGACATTTTATACTGTACGATTTTTTTATTTATCATTAATTAGCAATCTGAATTTACATTCTATGAGCTAATTTGCTGTCATGTACAATAATTATTCTATTGTACTAAGTTGGCTTGAAGAGCTGTAATCTATCGATTACGCCTCAGTTTTCCTGGAGATCGTTTGGCCAAGTTCGTCTTAGTCTTCTGTATTGTGTAGGTTGAAGGAGAGCTTCTATTGCGTTGTTGGGGTGAGATTCCAGTTTCTGGTAATGTTTTTGGATTCTGTCTGTGATTACGGTTCTTACATATGGGATCTTGAGGTCGGTGTGAAGAGTTTGGTTTGACACGTACCAAGGTGCGTCAACTATGGCTCTAAGTATTTTGGATTGACTTCGCTGGATGATTGCTATGTTGGACTTGCTGGCGCAGCCCCAGAGCTCAATGCCGTATGTCCATATGGGTTTAATTATTGTTTTGTAGATCAGTAGTTTATTATCTATTGTTAGGTGAGATTTCCGACCTATTAGCCAATTTATTTCCTTGAACTTAATTTCGATTTGTTGTCTCTTCTTCGCTATGTGGTGTTTCCAGTTTAATGTTGAGTCCAGGTGTAGTCCTAAGTATACTGTAAGATGAGTGACACAGAATTAGCAGCATAACAAAAGTTTCACGGCACGACATATCGCCCGCAACAAGCGTATACGAGCAGTGCGAATTTCGAACAAAAAAATGTGCAAATGTTACTGCAACAGTGTTCATCTGATGGCGGAAATAAGTCATCGGATTTTTTCAGAGATCTGTGTGACGCTCTGGTGTCCGCAAATATTCCATTTTGGGCTCTGAAAAATGAAAAACTAAAAATTTTCTGGAAGTGAATTGTGGTCGTTCTATCCCGGATGAATCCACTTTCAGGAAAAACTACCTTTCCAAGCGCTACAACAATATCCTGGAAACGATTAGGAAAATTTTCGTTTCCATTGATGAGACCTGCAATACGGAGGCTCGCTACGTGGCAAATGTCATCATTGAAACCTTGGAGAATGATGGACCAGGTAAAGTTGTTCTGCCTATGAGTGAGGTGCTAGAATCCGTTCATCATTCCACAGTTTGTAAACTCTTTGACAGGTCGATGATTCTACTGTGGCCAGAGGGTATACGACACGACTACTTCTTGCTTTTTGTGACCAATGAGGCCCCATATATTTTAAAAGTAGGCACGTCAATAAAGTCGTTTTATGTGAAACTGGTGCACGTTACTTGCCTAGCCTAGAGTGACGGAGGAAGTGAGATCAAAATTTCCTCAAGTGGATGCCCTCGTGTCGTGGACGAAGAAGATTTTCGTCAAGGCTTCAACTCCTAAAATGCAGTTGTGTTCAACTGCTCCCGGAACCCATCATTACAAGGTGGGGAACGTGGATTGATGCTACAGTTAACTATTGCGATCATTTTCGGATAGTGAAAAACACTGTAGATTCAATGAAGACGGAGGATGCGAGGGCAATTGAAGCTGCTCAGGAACAGTCCTCATGCAGCGAAATGGAAGGACAGCTGGCCTTCATAAAGGCAAATTTAAGTTCCTCGACGGAAGGAATCAAATTCTTACTGGAGAAAGGAGCAACACTAGATTCACTCGCTCTGGTGAAAAAATATCCAGTGATTTCGAGAAAGTATCAGGGGACATTGGGAAAATGGTGTTAAGAAAAATGGAACATGTTCTAGATAAAAACTCAGGTTATGAAACACTATGCAGCATTCTAACAGGAGAGTCCTTCAGCGCTTTCAGTGTTGAAGAGAAACTTACTGCTAGTGATTTGGTACACTTCAAATACGCTCCTATTGTGTCTGCAGATGTGGAAAGGAGTTTCTCCAAGTACAAGAATGTGCTGTCGGACAATAGACACTCACTCACTTCGAGAATCTCCGCATGTTGACTGTCATCTATTGCAACTCTGAATGAGGCGACACTTAAATATTGGAATATTTACCGTATATGTACATTTGATAAGCCTTCCAACGCGGTAGAAAAAAATCGTATTAAACATTTAGCTTCAAATTCAATCATATATTGCTTAATTTTCAAAATAAAAACGAGGACGAACATAAAAGAGTAACGTTGAGTTCACAGTGTTAATAAAGATTAAAAATACAGTTTAAAACGATTAGTATGTTTTTCATGACATGATACAGTTTGGGTCGTTTTTTAACTTTCAGACAGTTATTCTGGATTTTCGGTCATTTTATAGGTATTTTTTCTGGATTTGTTTTGTCATTTTTAAAATATTTTTTAGGTCATCAAAATCCGGGCCCTGATTATCACATACAGTTTCTGAATTGGACAGTACCTAATTAAATTTGTTTGCATAGCTTACAGATATCTTTATTTGTTAGTTTAATTAGTGTCCTATTTTTGGTTTGTGTATTTCTATACACAAACATATATATTTCTATTCTATAAAAATATAAGTTCTGATCCAAATTTCAGTAGTTGTATGAATGTATAAGGGGTGGGCCTTCTCGGGCCTTGCAACGCGGCCTACAGTGATCTATTGTGCTTTTCAGTAGTTGTAACATGCTAAATACTTAATTCAATTTATTGTAAACAATAAACCAGGGAGCAACATACTTGTCATCTTACCATCACGTTTGTCACTGTTTTGTGTATTGACTGTAGTGGAATTAGATTTTTCCTGTTTCTAACCTAACATTGTGACATAATAAGTACCTCTATTTGTATTCACGAAGAACCCAATTTTAATACCAACAGGGAATAGGTATTCTGGCTGAAGGTACTCAATCGTTTCATACATTTTCAAAGACTTACTTACTAACTTACGGAGCTGAGCCCTTCTTGAGGAGAAGCCAAATCTGCAGCTACTCAAGAATTTCCCAGCTTTTTAAGGAACCCAAAGATTCATTACTGCGTTCACAAGAGCCCTCAACTGGTCCCTATCCTGAGCCAGATAAATCCAATCCATACCATCCCATCTTATCTCTCTGAGATCCATTTTAATATTGTCCACCCACCTACGCCTTGGTCTTCCCAGTGGTCTATTTCGTTCTCGCTTTCCCACAATATCCTATATGCATTCCTTTTGTCCCCCATTCGTTCTACATGCGCTGCCCTCCTCATCCTCCTTGACTAGATCATTCTAATTATACTTGGAGAATGGTACAATTTATGAAGATCCTCATTACGCAGTTTCCTCAAATTTCCCGTCACTTCATCCCTTTTCGGTCCAAATATTCTCCCTTAATGTCAGAGCCCAAGTTTCACACCCATACAGAACCACAGGCCAGTAACCTAAAATATATCACATTTATTTCCTTTCTTACTGACTTCTCTACAATAATTATCAGTACGTATGTCCAAGAACCAAGTTATAATTTTCATATAATCTCCAGCTGGCACGTGGATAATTTTTTTTGCATGTAAGGTTAAAGTAAATGCCGTATGTTAAAATTTTGTTTACCTGTGAACATCTAAAACGTTTATGTGTCCAAAAAGCTAACTATTTTACCATAATGTAAGATTTCTTCTCCGTGTGACCCTCACAAAAACAAGCGTTACGTACTATTCATAATTCCACAATGATGGAAACTCACCAATAATAGTGATCATCCATGCTACAACATAAGATAGGCTTCCAATCCAAACAATGCACATCAGGAAGGTAAGTGGAAACCAACGTTTGAAACGTGGTTTCTCACAATCTGGTATGGTAACAAGGAACACAAGATGAATTGGCCAAACAAGCAACCATATCAACTGACGCCACTTCTCCTTTCCATGGGGCCAGTGGAACATTGATGATGATGACAGAATTCCAGAGCCAGCTAGATGAAAAAAGAATTGCTATGATTGTAACTTTCCTTAAAGACAAATTCAAAATGTATTAAAATTACACAAAAATTGATATAATTTGATTACAGCATAGCAATAATTGCAGCGGCAAAGGAACATGATGATTTTTAAAATGTGGTATGATACCGCCTATGTGGTCTAGTGGTCAGCGTTCCTCGCTACAAATCCAGAGGCCCAGGTTCGATTGACGGAAATACCATATTTTTTTTCTGAGAATTAGTGGGTCTGGAACAGGGATTCGTTGCTCTGACCACGCGACACCCTCTATCCGCAAAAGTTGGCACTAAACTTCGCCGACAAGCGGCGGTCGCTCGGTCGGTATAGTTCACTTGCGGACTAATATCACGGAGTTTGTTTTTTTGTTTGGTATGATAATGAGATGGTGAAAACCATGTCGTTTGCTAGCTTAACTAGTGGCGTTGCAGTGGAGCGTGTAACATTATATGTTTATTGTTGCAATGTTTTTGAAGGTGGTGACACTGCTGTTAAAACGCAGCGAATATTTCTCAGGCATTTCAATATTGTTCGTCACTGAAAAGTTCCTTGCCACAATACCACACAGTTATGGGCAGAAAACTCGAGAACGAGTGCTTCCGCATTAAAGAAAATCCACCAGGCAGTGTGCGCAAAGTGCGATCGCCAGAGAATATTGAGGCCGTGAGGCAATCATTCATAAGGAGTCCTAGGCGATCAGCCAAGAGACATTCTGTTGCTCTAGGAACACCCGGTCGTAACATGAGAATATTACATAAGGATCTAAATTTCCATCCGTACAAAATGGCAGTGGTGCAAGAGTTAAGCGATCATGACGTGGCAAACCGTAGCTGAGCGTCTCATCAGAATTTTCTCCGACTATGTCATTATCCTTGTGACGGATGAAGCAGACTTCAATAAACATAATTTTCGCTGTGGGGCAGAGGAAAATCCACAGCATCTCCATCAACGGCCTCTTCTCTTCTCATCCTCCATCATGAGGATGGAAATGATATGTTTCTCTGAAAAGTCGGTTGACTCTCAGTGGACCAGTTGTATATGGCATTATATCCCAGAAGATGGAACACTACACAGCCACCGCTGTGACCTCAAATCCTACAATGCCAATGGTATAAAAATGTCAAGTCAATAGCATTTTAATGAAGAAACAGTAGCACAGGCTACCTGTTGTCAAGACAAGGCTCAACAAATTATCGCTGCCATTACTACAATTATTTAACAATTGTTAAATTTACAGGGGTGCATGTGAGTTCAAAATGATGTGGCACAACATACGAGAAATGTTTACTCAGGTAGTTTTGCACTTACAGTCATTATCCAGCTGTACTGCAAGCACAATCTGTGGTTCCACCATCAAAGCTGAAGCACCTTTAACGCTGCCATTTTGCTGTTGCTGCTGTGTTGTCACATCTTCACTATTTTGCTGTTGTAACGGCATTTGTGCCTCACCAGCCTCTGGCAACAACCCAACCAGAAAGACAGGCACATATTACTAAATAATTCATCTGTCTTTGAAGAAGCAATTGTCATGATTTTGAAGATTATAATATGAAATGTAACATAAATAATAATTTGGAAAAACTGAGAAACTTTAAGCTTTTATCATTCAGCACTGTCACTGTCGTGAAATTAAATGTCCCCATACTAGAATATGTGTTACAAACAGAATTTTAATTAAAAGTTTGACAGACTGAAAATATGGCGAATGCATATGGTGTAAAGAATTAGACTGGTTATAGTGTAGATGCAAATTCAAAGCAAGGATCATGCTATACCAAGTTTTAAAGCTTGGTATATGTGACACACGTGCGTAGAATGTTTCACGCAGAAGATTCCAAACAAAACAGAACTTCTCTTTCTTTCTTTCTCTCTCTCTCTCTCTCTCTCTCTCTCTCCTCTTGCTCCCACTTTGGTGCATAGGGCTGATTTCTCCGTTTCATGATCATTTTTACAGGCGGCAGGACTCCTTGGACGGGTGATCGGCTCGTCACAAGGCCTCTACCTAAACACAGGACAACACAAACACAGAATAAACGCATACACACACCAAACATAAATGCCTTGTGTGGGATTCGAACCAACGATCCCGGCTTCCGAGAGAGCGAAGACAGTACATGCCTTAGACCGCTAGGCTACCGTGACCGGCAAACACGCTATTACATCCACACACAAAAAATAAAATACATAAGTTTCTGACAAATCCAACGATATCGTGTATTAGCTACGCCAGGAACTTGCCGGACTCCTGATGATGATGATGAGAATACACTGCCATTAAATCAATGATTATATAATGTTTTGGAAGTTTTGGTCCGAACTTCCAGTCCAAAGTCATTTAACCTCTTTTGTATTATTCTTACACTACTCCTCGTTTATCGCCCCCTTCGCCTCTTTCTCTTTCCTCCCTTCATCATATATTTTCTTCTTCTTCTTCTGCGGTTCCATCTCGGAGTTAATCTCGTAACAATGAATCTTATAATGCCTGTACCAGAACTCTTTGATGGGGGATCGGCCCTTTACGATGTCCCTCACACTGAAATTAAGCAGACGTGAGAAATATTCATTTCCAAAACAGGATCCGAACCGTGTTCCCTGTGTGTGAGCTTCTTAACGCCTTGGGACCACCGAAATCGGCTCTTCGGGCAGTAATGTAAGATACAGTAATCCCTGTGCTTAACTAACTAAGCACTACGCCATGAAGGCGTATGGGGGAGTGTATGTATAGATCCACGTTTTCTTGACCTCGGCATTCGTTGGAGGTGAGTTGTCAGTTTCACGTTCCGGCTGCTTTATCCACTAGATACTAGACTGGGTGGGGTCCAGAGCTGGTCTGGACGCCGCGGAGAAGAGAAAATTTTTTACCTTACCGGGGCTCTCAACTCCGACCCCTCGGCCCACCAGCGCGTAGCCAGTCGCTGTCCGGCCCATGCTCCTCGGACAGTAAGTTTATCAATGTTAAAGCAATTCAAAGAGAAGTCAAAGAGTCAAGACGAACAAATGCAATGAAGTGCAACGCCGAGAGAACTAGATGAATCACTTTAAAGGGCAGTACAGTCTGCTCAAAACACAATGAACGTTGTACGCAAGACGCTACGACGCCTAGAACTCCTTTCCTTCTTACCAATTACTTCACTTAGAACCGACAGATGGTGGATCCATAAGAAGTCCCATTTAATCCGACAACTTCAAGGTGTGGCCTTTCCTATTCTGGGCTTCACGATTCGTTATTTGTTGGCTCGTTCTTTTTACTTTCCTTTCCTCCAAAGTTCCGTATAAAATATTAATCGCACTTATCTTTAAACTTGACTGTACTTCTCTCGGGCGTTCGAAATTAACCATCGGTCGACTGGCAAGAAAATAAAAAAGTTACGAGGAGAGTTGCGAGCAGTTACCCTGGCAGACACCCGTCTCCTTCCTCACAGACCTATTTACTACCCATTTCAAAAACACTATACCGTTACGCGGACTTTCCGTCTTCAATCCGAAACTTTTAGGGAACAGTAACAAACAAAATAACAGTACACAACTTTACGTGTGACGTTCTGACTGCAGTATATAGTCACGTGTAGGGGTGACTCTAGAGGGGGTCTGGATTGGTGAATGGATTTATTAACCATTATACGCACGACCCCGAACTACAAGCAATTACAACGTCACCGCTAATCTCCACAATTCACAAATCACTACAGCACCCGCTAAGTCTTTTCCCAGTCTGCCACGTGTTCACCAACCGTTCCTTGGCAACGGTTTCTACCAGTGGAGATTCTTCAGCTTCACGCATTCAGGTCCCATCTTCATAACCTCCCGTCCAGAACTCGAACTCACAATTGAACTCACTGCTCCAACTGTCCTGGTTATAACATCGCGGTATGGACCACATAAAAAATACCTTTCTTCTACTGTTGCGACCGTATCCGTTGCAACGGGAACGTGATTGTCATGCTGTTGCCTAGAAACGGCCGTAGCTTATTTGCCTATATCGCGGTCATTGCATGGCAACGACCGCACACGCTAGAATTTTAAATCGGGGGGATTATTTCAACAAACATTATGACTTTGCAAACATGACTTCAAATGAGATTTAAGGATCACAAATGGTGAGTATAAGGACTCAGAACGAGTCGATCGTGAGGTATTTGTAAATATTATCTCTGTATACACCTGGAGGGACTACTAACCGCTACGTTTACCGTAGGACAGCCTGTAGCCCGAGAGAGAAATAATCTGAAATTCAATACGGCCAACACAAGCACAAGCCCGCGGATCTATTCTGAACCACTTAAGTCCAATTCACACCATGAGCACCTGTTCCTTTAAGATGTATATTAAATACTTTAAAGACCAGTAGTTCTACATGTACTGCCCGCTTTAACATACCAAAACTCAGCATTCTACTCACGGAGCGCATTGGTGTGTTGCATGTGATTCTCACAACAAACAGCGACTGCTTCCTTGACAGCATTAACCGGCTGGGTTCTGTAGCGGAGACGTAATGTTTCCTGTGAGGTACGAACTGAATTTTGATATACTATCTAGAAGTGACATGAATGCAGGGGTCCAGTTGCAAAAAAAATATCTCTGGTCGTCAACCTCAAGGGGCTTGGCACTAAGACGAACTGATTGGCGGTAAACCGCCACCCATAAAGCAAATCTGATTCAGTGTTCAAAGTGTGAATATTATTCTCACTTATGTGCTCTGATGTTTCAGAAATGCCCAATTTCAAAAATATTTCTTCGCAAATATCCCCCCCACAAATCCATTCTATTCAATTCGATTCACATATTCAACCCATCATATCTTCATGACGGTTTAATATTGAGTTCATGACTAAGTAATACTTATCATTCCCCGCCAATTCTGAATCCCCCTCTCCTTCCCAAATCCCACGCTTTTTTACGGGATAATATGAAATTACGTTTCGTGGGTTTTAGTTTATTTAATATAGCAGTACTGTTTCAAACGGACTTAATCAAAGCTTGATTTATAGCCCAAAATAAATCGAGGTACAAATATAACGAAACGGTAGGCTAGATTTTACATTTATATATTATATGTTATTATTATTATTATTACCAGAGATATATTCATGAGGGATCAAAAATAATTTCGTTTTTATACGCAATACTGCAACGGTTTATACAAACAAAAAAATTATAAAATCAAAATTAATATATGTAAACACTAGAAAAATATATCCGCCACGATTTTGCATGGCAACATCCTCACCCGGACATGAATTAAAGTGTGCTGAAACAACACATCTGCTCATTCCTTCTACATTACCATACATCCTTCATAAACTCGTTAACACTTGTAACTACGTGTACTATATCCGGATTTGAGGTTCTCACAGCGGTGAATATGAAGAACATTATGTCATGTAGTCCTGTAGAAGTCCACCAATATTCCTTCGAAACGTTGGTGAACATCTACTGTACTACATGGCGTTACGCCCCAGGAGATAGTACTCCTTAGGCATATGCCTCATTAATCTTCTATCCGCATATTTATAAACATCATAGACATTTTAGACAGGGCACTTTAACCCCTTCACTGATACGCAACAAACGCTAAATTATTATCCTTTCTTATTATATCGTTGTCATGGAAACGAAAGGATGTGACACGTAACTGTTCTCACATTTACAGCCCTGGCGCCACATGCTGATAAGGCTTGTAAATACTAGACTGATCGCCTTATTCAAACAAAATTTTTCGCGTAAAACTATAAATGAGAGTATATAACGTACTAACATACCACAAGTCACATGCTTAATCATAAAAGTACATCCGTTTTGCTATGGCATGCGACAATTGACAATGATGAAATGCTTTTTCAAACATCTCTGCCACTCAGACCTCTAGTATTCACCCGAAAAATTCTCACCGCTGCTTCAGATTAATATTCATTGCACGGAATAAAAAGGTAAGGCAGGACACACATAAGTCGTAACTGCAAAACGCTCATACTCAGTTTCATAAAAAAAACTATCAGTTTTTCCTTAGTTTAATTAAGGAAATTTTCGTCCTAAGTATGTAAATGGCATATGAAAAAAGTCGAATTGGCCATGACCTATTTTAAAGCATTATCAGCATTCAGATTAAAACCTTTTGTCTTCTCCTCTACTGTCCAAAAACGTAAAAATCTCAATATATAAAACTATAATTTTGCCTGTATTTTTGTATGGATGTGAAAATTGTTCCCTGACATTAAAGAGAGAAAATAAAAGGTAAAGATGTCCCTGTGATTAACTAATTAAGCACCACGCCATGAAGGCGTGTGGGGGAGTGAATGTAGAGACCCACATTTTTTTGACCTTTGCACTAGTTTGAGGGGAATGATCACCTTCACGCCCCGGCCGCTTTGCCCCCGGGGAAAGAGCCCCCCGCACCCATTAGATAGGAGGCTTAGTGGGCCCCAGAGCCGGTCTAGATGACATGGAGAAGTAAAAATTCTTGCCCCAACCGGGCCTCAAACTCCGACCCTTTGGTCGANGCCTCTGTGGTCTAGTGGTCGGAGTTCCTGGATACAGATCCAGAGATCCGGGTTCGATTCCCGGCGCTACCAGATTTTCTTAGAAATACTGGGTCTGGATCGGGGTCCACTCAGACCCGTGAGGATAATTGAGGAGCTATTTCAAGGAAATAGCGGCTCCTGTCTAGAAAACCGAGATGAATGGCCGTGGGAATCCGTCGANTTTATTACAAACAGAATTTTAATTAAAAGTTTGACAGACTGAAAATATGGCGAATGCATATGGTGTAAAGAATTAGACTGGTTATAGTGTAGATGCAAATTCAAAGCAAGGNCGAGCTGACCACGCGACACCCTCTATCCGCAGGAGTTGGCACTAACTTCGCCGACAAGCGACGGTCGTTCGGTCGCTATAGTTCGCTTGCGGACTAAAAGCTATGAAGTTTGTTGTATAATATTGTCGCGTGACCCGAGCTTGGGAAGTGAGCGTATGCTCGCTTCTCTGTTCCTCGAAGCCTCTTGACGCTTCTTGACGCTTGACTTTTTGCCCTCCCTTCGGCTTCTAGTCTCTACGCTAGCCGCCCAACTCGCATTGGCGGCCGAAGATGTCCGGGACACCTCGAAAATTTTCCAGAATATCTTCGCCTTTATAAAACTGTCCCTTTTCTCTCTCCTTCCTTTCTATATATACGTATTACACATACATACAGACCTAGAAATATACGGCGCGCACCAAACACTATGATAGAGGAAACAACAATTACGCTATTTTGAAGGACTTACACATTTTTCAAAAACACTGGATGCAAAAAAAAAAACTGTTTTTCTTCTGTGTGCCGTCTCTCTGACTCTGCATATGTCCGTATGCATATATCGATGGATGGATGGATAGATGTGTTCCTCACAAGCGCCTGAACGGTTTGACTGATTTTTTTGTTTTCCGATATTCAAGAGTGTGCCCATCACAAATCGACGATCTATGAATATCGAAGCTCCAGCTCAAAAAAATATGACCCTTTAAATGGGCCTCAAAATAAAATTCCGATTTCTTTAAACGGCTCGTACGAGTTTGATTACCTTTCCTTTTTTACGGACACCATATCCATAAATATAACTGCATAGGTGGCAGCACACTAGGGACGCAATTGCAAAATTTTGTCGAAACCATCTTTACCGGTCAGACGTATTTCATTTTTGTTCGAAATTCAGTAATTATTCTTGGAATTGATTCGTACAAGTTTTGAACAGTCTCTAGTGGAATTTTATACCGTTCCTCTTAAAGAACATCTTCTAGTTGCTTTACAGGCGTTCGAGGTGGGAATCTGTTCCTCGCTGTAGTCTCCAAAACTGACCACAGTGGTTCAATGACATTCAAACCTGGTGACTGTACTGGCCATGAAGCTCACTTTTATTGCTTTCAAACCATGACTGAACAGTTCCAGCTGTGTGACTGGAGTCATTGTCTTGAAAAAGTGCATCGTCTGGATCATGTATTCATCTGATTACACAACCTGTCAACGTACTCCCTCGCAGTAATTCGGACATGAAGGACAATAATGGAACCAACAGATTACCACAATATTCCTGCCCAAACAATTACAGACCCCCCCCCCTCCAAACGTAAGCTCTTCCTGATGTAGAAACAGTGTGAAGGATAACTCATCTGATCATGTTAGGGGCACGTTTCCAGTTGTCTGATGTCCAGGTTTTATGGTCGTGATACCTTGGTTTATGCATCTGACCATTACTTGCAGTAATCAGAGATTTAGCAGTTGCAGCTAACGAGGGTCTGTTATAGTCGTCTTGGATCAGAGAATTTGGTTAGAGAATTGGGTCGAGTTCTGAAGGGTCGTTAGTTCAAGGTGATTGAGCAAGAAATGGCAAGAAGACGTCATAGTGATATCTGGAGTGTGACTGATATAGTTCCTGTGTTAAAATCTGTTGCCAGGAAACGGATAGCGAAAACATTGTAAAGTCATAACCATTGTTGAGATCTGTTACCTAGCAATGACTAATGAAAGCAGCCGCAGAAGACTTCATTTTATGTGTCTTAGTAAAATTAGTCTTTAAAGTGTTATAATTATTTGTAGTTATGACTTGTGAGAATTCAGTAAATCCAGTCGTCAAATCCAAAACCCATTATTATTAGTCACGCAACCCCATATACGTGACAATATTCTTACTCTCTAATTATCGAAAGCATGCCTTACGTGTCAAGTTGAAGGTGTCGTAAGTTAACACTCGGGACAACGTCCTTGTATCCTTGAAAGTCCTGTACACAATCTGGTCATAGATTATCCCAGACTCCGTTAATTACACGTTCGGTAACTTATTCCCTTGCCTTAACCGTGTTATCAGTTACAGATGAAGTTGTCTGCAGTTACGGTTTGAGCACTGGCTGCCTTGCCAGTCACTTCAATAACATGAGAAATATAATTTCGTTTAAAATGCTGAAACTAACTTTGANGTAACTTATTCCCTTGCCTTAACCGTGTTATCAGTTACAGATGAAGATGTTTGCAGTTACGGTTTGAGCACTGGCTGCCAGTCACTTCAATAATCTGAGAAATATGATTTCGTTTAAAATGCTGAAACTAACTTTGCCTGGCGTTAAACTCTTCGTTCACAGAGGCTTCGCCTTCCATGGCCGTTAAGTAGTCAAGAGAAAATTTCGCCTGACGATGTATAACCATCAGAATCACATGGAAATTGCGGTGATTCAGATCTTCGATCCACTTTTCCAAACACTTTCCCCTTCTCAATTGCTCCGCTACGAATGTGACTTGTCAAAGCAGCACTAGCAAGATTAGTACACACAGTGAAAGCGGGTAAATTCGGCGCTTTCCCTATATTCACTGAACTTTTCGCCCGCTTCAAGGCGAAGCGAAACATCCATCTTCACTGCAAGACAGATGCTTCTCCAATGCTTCTTGCTACCAACAATTTTATCTGAATCACTTGCTGGTCACTTTGAAGCCGTTTCAATGGGGTAATTAAACAAAGTAATATAAGGAAGGTTAACACGTGGTACAGAAAATAAGCTACGGCTTCCTCACTCAACAGAAACGTAAGCGAGACTCATGCTACGCGCTGAGTCCGCTGTGACGCTGTATCAGTAGCAACGTCTAAATGATGACGTAATAACGGGTTAACATGACGTTGTGTTGAGCCTTGGTGTAAAAATTGTATCAACATAATAATAAAACAACGTTAAGCAAGGAATTACTGTACAGAATATCTACCAAGTTTATCAAAGCCGGTAAAAATTCATATAGCACAATTGAAGTGGACCTTAAAATAAGCTAAAATAACCTCAGATCAAAATGACTTTAGTGTAGGTCTATATGCCGATCCTCACTGAACTTGGTTCCGTGCTTTAGGAGCTGTTAGTTTGAATGGACATTGCGAGGTAGATTAACTTACCAACAGAACAAGGATCTGCCGATGGTTTTCTGTTGGCTCCATCTCTCAGCTGACGCCTGGCACACCGCTGGATGGACTTGTCCCAATACATTACTGCAATTAAATTACCGTTAATGAAATTTATGTGCCTCAATGATGTGTTTAAGTACCTGTTCGTTTGTTGAAAGGCCAATTTTTCCCCCCCTTGGCACTACAGCCCCAGTGGGCCTAGGCCTACCTCCATGAAACTCTCCGTTTCACTTCGGTCTTTCTAGATCTTACACATACGGTAGGAATCCTTGGGCGAGTGATCAGCTCGTCGCAAGGCCTCTACCTGTAGACAAACACAGAAAAACGCACACAAACATCCATGCCCTGAGTGGGATTCGAACCCACGATCTCGGCTTCCGAGCGAGCGAAGACAGTGCATGCCTTAGACCGCTCGGCTACCGTGACCGGCTGAAAGGACCATTAATAAATTATTTTCGCTTTCTTCCCTCATTGCAAATATTAGACCTGTCTACTTCTGAGTTTGCCTGACACTATTGTTTGTGTGATTTCATCCATAACTTTCGCTTTCCTCGTTCTTGTATTTATAGTGAAGTTGTAACGTTTATTTTGATTCGCAAGAGCTTCAAACTTCATATGTTACATTGTTAGTATCACTTTAACCAGTGAGGTTTCTGTTATTTATTTTGTTCCTTCGTTGGCCTTATATGGTCCGGAAATTCATCAGCCTAAGGGGAGAATATTGTGACGTGCTGCCTGAAAATCGGACTATAAGACGTCCATCATTAGTCAACGGCTAGCAATTCCTAGGCAGCAATACCTACGAAATCGTTGCCCCGGAAATGAAAGTCTAACAGCGGGGTTTCCACGGTTACAAAGGAATTGAGGCAGACGCGTATTCCCGCGGCAACAAGAGGCAGTTGCATAGCAGCGGGCGAAATTAACCCTTCGATAAGTTATTCCCTATTCAGTCCGAGTGCAGGATATAATAGTTCTTATCCTGCTAGAGTAGAAGTTAGTTCGTACCCGACGAGAGCTAAGGACAGTTGAGCGCCGAGCAGAGCAGAAGACACTTCACCGAGATTAGCGGTGAAAGAGTGTTGTAACACTGAAGAGGAAACGTCTTAAGACCTTATAAGTGTGAATAATTGTACGTATGAGTGTAAAAAGTGACTGTCCAATAAACATACTCGCCAAATCCGAGAACCCGCACAAATTTCTTGTCGCGTTACCTAGCAAACACGCGACAATATAAATTGATTGTGCTTGGGAACGAAGAGTTGAAGAATATTTGGAACTAAGAGGTAAGAAGTAACAGTATAACGGAGATAACTCGGATTAAAGAGCGTGAAATACGCTGAATATGACGCGAACGCAGAAGAGGTGAGAATGCAACAAATGTTAGGAAACCTCAAGAGATAAGGCATAGTTTACTGCATAAACCCGCATTGACAGATGTCTTGTGTATATCTTCCATAAATGTTATTAATTACAGTAAATTAACAAAGAGTGTTAAGTGGTGAATAAACAATTGTTGCATTATCGACGAACTGTGAATACACAGACGTTTGGTTAAAGATTTGCAACAGGATGCTGAAATACTGAATTAACAAAGAGTGTATGGTGTCCATGAAGTACAGTCGCCCTTACTTGGACGCTGGGCGGGCAGAATCTTCCTCTCGTAGAAGAAGAAGCCCCATTTCAAAAGTCATAAAGTCTTAAACAAAAGTGTGGCCATGGTGCTTGACGGGACACGAAACCAAGATCGACTCTGCCGACGAGCACCAGCAGCAGTTTACCCGACAGACCAAATTTGTCTTTAAATTGAGTTCCGAAACTTTTCATCGGCTTCTTTTTATGTACGGTAACTATTTACTAAAGCCGCGCCATAGCTTAAGTGGTTAGTCGCTGGCTTCCCACCACGGCGGCCCGGGTTCGATCCCGGGTCTGATCAAGTGGGATTTGTGATGGACGAAGTGGCGCTGGGGCGGGTTTTCTCCGAGTACTTCGGTTTCCCCTGCCAATCTTCATTCCACCAAATTCTCCATCATCATAATCACCCGGGCAGGCTACAATAGGCCAATCAGTGGCCGCCGTGCCGAGTGGATCCAGTTGGACTTCGCCCCCCACCAAGCGAATTAAAAAAAAATATGTATTAGCATTGAAAGCTTACTCCCCTCTGCTGCTAACATCACCCTTGGAATTATTGCTAACTACATCCTAGACGAGAATTTACACGGAGTTTATAATAAACTTTTATCCATATTCATACTGCAGACTTGTCACTCTAAATGAACACGCACGCACTTCTCACTTCGTATTTAACCTCGCATAAATTAGCACAAGAGACCTAAAATATTAACATATGCTTTTCACGCAGTGTATTCCAACCGTTCATTGCCAGCTGTAGGACAGAGAATTTCAATGTTCAGACAAGTAATGGACACACGAATACACAACGAAAGTGCATTAGGACCCGGATGCACTGGCTCCGTATCTACGAAACAGACTTGTGAGCAGAAGGCATGACATCTATCGAGCTTCATAAGCAAATGAAAGGGACTTCCATGGAAAAATAGGCTAAGGCCCATGAGGCACATCCCTCCATGATATTTTTTGCAACCTAAGCAGCTTCCCTGAAGTTTTTTAAAAATCTTTTTATGCCATACTAAACGTAAACCAATTAAAAAATATTAAACTGGCTTTATGCCATACTTAATGGAAACAAATTATAAATTCATCAAAATATTCTTTTTATGCATCAGGAAAAAACAAAGTTGGTGGGAGCCTGCCCTTCCAGCCCTTCGCGACAAGTCGCCTCTGCCTGCTTTAGTGTTGAATATCCGAGTTAGCAAACGTACGCATAGCACTGTGGGAACTGCCCACATTCAAGCAATGAAGCTCGCGTTGCCACACTTGCTTGAATGTGGCCAGTTCCCACATCACCCATTTTGTTTCATTGCCTATACTTATAATCACGAAATTGAGGAAATATCTTATTGGACACAAATTGTATATTTCAATTTTTCTACAGCTTCTGTTCGAAATATTTTCGCTCTGATGAATAACTTATTTAGCTACTTGACATAACTAAAGGAGGGGGAAGGGGTAAGATTGGGCATTTCACAGTTTTTCGACTAGGCCCAACGTATGTTAGGTAATAAATAATTTAAAGTGCATACCAAGTTTTATCCATTTACTGGCTACAAATGTCAGGCATAAAAATTGAGAGGAAACGTTCGTACTATTTGCTGTGGTGCTTTAAAAGTTTGTAAAATGCTCACACTTGGGCACCTGGAGGGACACGAATGGGCAGAGCGGAGTGCAAGAGTACACACGCGTCAAATTTAGCAGCGGTCACACAGGTGGCTGCCGCCTCCTTCCCAACTGTAACAATCCCTACCCAGTCATCCTCGAATATCTCTCCACTTCCAGCACAGGCGGCTGATGAAGTTGTTGAAGCAGATGACATGGGAAGTCTCAGTTTTCGCTTTGCCCTATTTTTGACTTCCCGGTTTATTTTTGTGCTGCTTCTAACCGCTTCAATTGTCCCTCTGCCCTTCCTTTAATTTAATTGATTTCTCATTTTCTTTACTTAAAAAAAAAGTTTTGTTTGATGGTCCAGGCAAAATATCTGACCCCTGAAATTTCGTCTTACGTTGTTTGCTTTCTACAGAAACTTATAGCAACGGTTTATAGGTCCCGGTTTCAGTTCCCTTCTTCGGTTTCTTTCAGTTTCGAATCAGGCATCTTATCTTTTGCGAATGATCTCAGTTCGAAACTTCATCGGATATGATATTTGGCCTGTAAGTATAAATTCCAGCATCTGCGATGGCGTATTCATCTTTGTCAATTGCTGCTGCATGCCCGCTCTTGGCCACTTCTGACATACGTCATGAAATCGTTCCGAAGTCGCGTCACAAGTCAAATCCACAGCTCCTCACTTTGAGGTTACAGAATATATAAATCACATTCTACGTTCTCTGATAATATGTCTTTTTGTAATGTTGCACGTGTCAGCGTTAAAGATAATCTAACAATCTGAGAATATAATGAAAGAAATAGAAGAAAACTTAAATTTACCTTACACACACATACGAATACTTTACTTTGATGATGGTACAGTTAATCGTTACATAAAATCAGCTCTGAATAGCTACGCAATGACACTCTCCGAGTCAATCTGCCAGCAGCTGCAAACACTTCTGCATGCCGCGCACTCTCACCCACCCTTACCTTACGCGCAAATAATGATCTATGTCTTGATATAAAACGATCACTATTTTCGTCAGATCTCAACCTGAATGGAACTAGTTGATAAACTGTAGTAAATGTCTCAACTACCAAATTTCATGAAAATCCGTTTAGCGGTTCTATAGTTTTATGCATAGACGTAGATGTGGACGGTTTCAGCTGATTTTTTATCCACACTGCAGTGTTGTGAACGCTCCTAAACACGATATATGTTCTCTGAAGTGTACGGTATTCTGGGTTGTAGCGCCATGAAGTACATGGCATTGCAACCCAGAAGACTGTACTGTTCATAGACTCCGCTGAGAGAACCTCATGTGAGGGATGATGTAAACTGACTCACAGGAAGACCTGTTCAGCATCGTCTTGCCTCGGTGAGACTACTTTGTATTGCTACTTGGTTCACGACAAAGGTTACCTGCGGTGTACACGATGTAGAGCAGCACTAGGGTCAGGGCTTCGTACCACTCGACCCTTTCGTCGTGAATGATGCAAATCATGAGCGAGACCGTGACTCCATAGGCCAGACAGTCCCTCGTGAGGGGCCACCAGTCCAGCGGCACCACCTGTGGGCAACATCCATTGCAATTACATTAAGGCAGTCCTAATGAATGTGATTGCATTTTAACCACGTGACACTTGTCTCAACTCAGCAAAAAATAGAGGTTGGGGATGTTAGAACGAAGTGTATGAACCTACGACAGAGGACATGATGAGAGGATGGAGAATGGTGCATGACTAGTAGCACCGTTCAGGATTACTGACGTCTGGATTTTGTCCATTTCGGAAACTGTATCTGTCCTCATGCGAGGGGATGGAACGTGTCTACTGTATTGGGCCCGTTCGAAAGAGATGACCTTCAAAATTTCTAATTTTTTCCCATTATTCTTAGAGCGATGAAGAGAAGGAGGTTGAAATGGGCGGGACATGTAGTAGGCATGGAAGATGTCAAATACATTTCACCCATAGCCCGAAAATTCGAAAGGAAGAGGCTGTTTGGGAGAGTTAAGCGTAAACATGATATTAGTTTACTGAAGGAGATCTAGGGCGTTGGCTGAGTTCAACTGGCTCAATGCAGGGCCCTTGTGAGTTTCTTGTGATGGCGGTAAAGGACTTCCAGAATTTTCGAAAGGTAGATAATTTCTTTAGCCGGTCACGGTAGCCGAGCGGTCTAAGGCATGCACTGTCTTCGCTCGCTCGGAAGCTGGGATCGTGGGTTCGAATCCCACTCAGGGCATGGATGTTTGTGTGCGTTTTTCTGTGTTTGTCTACAGGTAGAGGCCTTGCGACGAGCTGATCACTCGCCCAAGGAGTCCTACCGAATGTGTAAGATCTAGTAAACCGAAGTGAAACGGAGAGTTTCATGGAGGTAGGCCTAGGCCCAAATTGGGGCTGTAGCGCCACAGTATGAGTATATAAGTATAAGATAATTTCTTTACCACGTTTACCGACTATTAATTTTTCAAAAAGAGCTGTTCCACCAGATCAGTTAAATTATCGAGCAGACTGACGTAGCGGTAATTCTATAGACTCGCATCCGGGAGATACTGAGTTCGAATCTCGGCTTGAACACCATTTATCCTAAGTTCTGCTGCTTTTTAATTGCTAGTGGGTGGGACTATGTCCCTTGTACTGCGGCCACTTCTGGCCTATTGTACCGGCCCCAGATGATAGGTGAGGGTGATTGTGGAGCAATTGGTGAAATGAAAATTGGCAAGGTAAACCGAAGTACTCGGAGAAAACCTGCCCCAGCGCCACTTTGTCCACCACAAATCCCGCTTGACCAGAACCGGGATCGAACCCGGGCCGCCGCGGTGGGAAGCCAGCGACTAACCGCTTGAGCTGTGGCGCGGCCTAAGTTCTGCATAGGAAACTGCCGAAATAATACTTCAGTTAGGTCACTGCCCCTTCCTTATAAATCATTCTTAATTCATAAGTCATCATACCACACGGGAGACCGTAGTCTGCATAGCTGACTGGCTACTGGCTGGATGACCGAGGAATTGCGGTTCGAGTCCCGGTAGGGTCATAAATTTTCTCTCTTCTCTCTTCCAGACTGGCTCTGAGGCCCACCCAGGCTCCTATCAAATGGGTACCGGGGGCTATTTTCCCTGGGGTAAAGCTGCAGGAGCGTAAAGCTGACCACTCACCTTCAACTAGTGCCGAGATCAAGAAAATGTGTACTTATAAATCCACTCCCCCATACGCCTTCATGGTTTAGTACTTAATTAGTTAAGCACAGGGGACATATTTACCTTACCATATAATTCGACGCTATATAGACTAGATACTGAAAGAGTCGTAAGGTAACCCACACAAAATTTAATTGAATGTGAAGAATCACATTTTTTTTCTTGGCACTACAGCCCCAGTGGGCCTAGGCCTACCTCCATGAACTTCTTCGTTCACTTCGGCTTTTCTAGATCTTACATGACCGGTAGGACTCCTTGGGCAGGTGATCAGCTCGTCGCAAGGCCTCTACCTGTATACAAACACAGAAAAACGCACATACACAAACTACACATCCATGCCCTGAGTGGGATTCGAACCCACGATCCCGGTTTCCAAGCGAGCGGAGACGCTACATGCCTTAGAGCGCTCGGCTACCGTGACCGGCGAAGAACCACATAAGGAATTAAGAATATGTTTAAGCTTAAATATATTTATTTATTAAGAAAATTTCTTTCCTCCCAAAAGAGAGATGGCACGTAGACTGTTAAATCAAGGTGCAAAGTGAGAAAGTAATGCAGTCTTACCAACTACAGCACGTCTAATGAATGAAACATAAAAATTATTACATTTAATTTAGAAAACTAATACATGACCTGTTTACTGTATGAAATATTTGCCAATATCCACAGTACAAGTGAGAGATAATTCCGAATTCGACATATAATGACATGGTCCAAATATCAGGAATTAACTGAATGGTCATAAGTTTCATTCCATACATATTTGTGCCTCAATTTTGAGACTGGTAACGGTAGTGCGAACATCATAGGAAACCCGCTGAATGTTGAATTACAGTAGAACTTGGTTACAACGTCATCAAAGGGACCTAAAGATAGTGTCGTTATAAACGAATGTCGTTGTAACCGAAATGGGCACTTCCACAGTAGCCTTATGTTAGTCACGTAAAAATCTACCAAAAACCGAGTTGAAATGTTGCATTTTTTAGTGAAATACGTAGTTAAGTACAGACTAACGTAACATGAACGTGGAATTGCCCAAATGTGTAATATCAAAGACATATTACAGCGCTTTTCACTGACAATACACACCGCACTAATACTGTATTGTATATTAAAGGTAGGCCTACTCACCAAATTACAGTAGATTACATCAATTGTTGTGCCTTACTCTACCTAGATACGAGTACAGTAATCAGTTATCTTCATCTGTTTCCTGTTACTTGCTCAATACACACTTTCTAAATTACGTTAACAACCTGCCGCGTCCTCTTGCACTATTCACGCAGTCCCACCCCACACCCTTGTTTTCGCATAAAACCCACGCTCCTCTTGCAGCCCGCGGTCGTATTCTTCCAGGACAGTCACATCAGCAAGTAGAGAAAGTGAGGGTGGGCAGACACATCGAACTTTCCCACGATATCAGAGAAATTCAGGAATGAAAATGACGTTACATACGAGGTTGATGCATTTGTGCATGTCGTACTAAGCAAGGTATAAAAACAGTTGCTTTATGAGGAATTAGTTCGTACCATTAAATATTTGACGCAATAGACAAGGTGTCGCAGAAACCGATGTTGCTATAACCAAGTTTTACTGTATCTGTAAGGTAAAGTACAGGACTGTACTTAATTAAGCATGACCTCGTGAAGCCATAGAGCATGAAGGTACAGATAACACATCCTAACCTCGGCACTAGATGGAGGTTGTCTTGTCAGCTTCATCTGTACCTTCCAAAAACTCCCTGTTGGATATGAGGCTTGACGTCAGGGTCGAGAAAAGAAAAATCTGTAGCACCTCCCAAGAATCGAACCTTGGTTTCTCTGTTGTCCGACCCGAAGCATAGTCACTCTATTGAGTGACTGAGCAGATTTTCCTACAGTTGAAGCTCCGAGCTTGCATTCGAATTTCAGTACAGACGTACGCTTTATAGAGTGAGTTTCTCAGACCCGCCAGGAAAATGTTGAAATAGTTCTTTTTATAGGCCATGGTCACCTTTCCAATTCATCACTCATGATGCGTCATAATCTCGATACTGAAAATACCCGCTGATCTAACCTGCTCCTAGGTTGCATGTAAACATTTTCCTTATCGTAAGTTGTTGCTTTGTAATTTCGCAATTTTGCTCATAAAAGAGCGTTCGTATTTCGCTGTCACGTGTCCTCACATGACTGCCACTCATTTTATTACCATAAGTTCTTTTGGTGTTTTCGTCGCATGCATTGTGGAACTCGGCTTCATGTTCGTCATACATGATACATCACAGCCCATGCAGAATCGCCCATGGTTAATGAGAAGGGACTGCAAATGTTACGCCAGGTTAAAATCCGTGGCATATAGTCCGCAAGAGAACTATACCGACCTAGCGACCGCCGCTTGTCGCCGAAGTTAGTGCCAACTTTTGCAGATAGAGGGTGTCGTGTGGTCAGCGCAACGGATTACCACAGCCGTTAATCTCTGTTTTCTAGACCGGAGCTGCTATTTCCTTGAAATAGCTCCTCAATTATCGTCACGAGACTGAGTAGACCCTGTTCCAGACCCACTACTTCTCAGAAAAACTTACAGCGCCGGGAATCGAACCCGGGACCTCTGGATCTGTAGCCACTAGACCACAGAGGCGGTCGTTATGCCAGGTAATGTGGCTACAATTCTGAAAATACTTTCAGCAGGCGATTTCCACCGATGTTTGCAGGCTGGTATACGTAACGTGAGAACTGACTGAACCCGTACACTTCCCTTCACAGAGCGGATGATACTCACAATACCGGCGCCAATGCCACAGCACGCTGCGACGGCCAGGATGTTGAAGACGGCGCTGCCGACGATAGTGCCGACCCCAATATCTCCTTCTGTGATGAACGTACCAATCACGTTCACGAACAGTTCGGGCGCCGACGTCGCGGCCGCCATAAATGTTGCTCCCGCCACGTCATTAGACATGTTCAGAGCTGTACAAACACCAAATCTTTTGTTAACACTGAATGTTCAGATAAACGTCAAATGTAATACCACAATACAGGACTGTGAAGAATGCCGCTTTCTGGGATGTGGCTCCGTGTACATATTGTGTTAGCCGATGTTTCGGAGGAACGTATCGCCTCCATCTTCAGGGTATAAGAAATCCGCGAGCGATGAGACTGAAGTCTGCAGCCACCTGCTCACGCTAGTTCAGCGCCTGCAGATTTCTTATACTCTGAAGATGGAGGCGATACGTTCCTCCGCCGAAACGTCGGTTAACACAGTGTCTACACGGCTCCACATCCCAGAAGACGACATTCTTCATAGTCATCGCCGTGAAAACCTCAAACCACCGAAGTCCTCATAATATCTTGGGTACCTACCCGCTAAAATGGTACAGCTATCCTTGTAACAGGCCGTGGAGGCCCACATGGTTGTGAGACGTCGAGGCTCCCACATTTTCTAGACAATCGGCTCACAGATGGCTGTAAGGTTGTCAGCCTTACGTTCCAACCGCCCTTTATCCCCCCCCTCCCGGAAGATTCCTGGTACTCATTTCTGTTAGAGATCGAGTCGACCCCAGGGCCATAATGCGGCTGGAAGAATTAATTAAATTGAAGAAATCCAATGACCTCATCGGGAATGGAAACCGCGACCTTCCGGCTTGTAGCATAGTGCCTCAACCAACTACGCTACCGCGGCCCCACCCACCACCTACCCTCAGGTTATATTATGAAAGTATACACTTTCCAATATAATTAAAAAGCACACCTGTTCTCAGTCATTGTATCTATGAGGAAGAAGCACGCGGACAAGAACTGGACCCACATGGCTCAAAATATTTGTTTCAATTAAATAGAATACGTGCCAAAATTATCATTGTTATTAAGGTTCTTTTGACAAAATTTGATGACTTTTTAAAGATAAGATTAGTGTTAAGACTAGTTTAGGGAAATGGTAGGCTATTCTATAGCTGCCGGGCGCCACGAACAGGAGTCGGCCGCACGTGGCCAATTTGAGAGCCCACCCTCAATATATGCGTGTTACTTACGTTTGACTAAACTGACACAGTTTTATTGTGAAAAGGAATTGTATTAATAAGTGTATTATCCTTGTTTTGTAGCCTATTTTCCTTATTTTGAAAAAATAAAAAGAGGCTTATGAGATCACCTTCAGGCCGTATCCCACTCCCCGCCTGCGTTACCAGTTATAAATACAGGGCACTTTGTTTATTATAGATATATCTTGCACAGAAATTTTCGACGGAATATGTTTGTCTAGAAGTAATGTCCTAGATTTGTATTCGGTAGGTGCTCGGTTCGAATGTCGACTGTGTCACCGGATATTCTGACTGAAGTGGTTCAGGGTATAGCTCAGTCCTTCCAGGCAAATACTAGCACAGTATTTCAATTATGCTATGACTGCTTCCTTCCAAATCCCTTACAATTCATTATTCATTAATTCTTCCCATCATCCGACGCTATACAGTGTCCGTACTGAAAACATTTTTAAATAACAAACATAACATATTCATTTTCTAAATCGTTACCCCTGAACCATGATCGGATTTGTTATTCACCAATCAACATATCACGAAGAAGATGGTTAAAGCCCCGCAGTGTGTAATTAAAATAGATGTCAGTTACCTCAAATAAATATGTGACTGCTCCTAATAACCGAAACATATTATGGAATATCTGCTGAAAGCCAGCAGAGACAGCTGATGCTAGCGGACGGATCTGCAAACATGTCCGTTACTATGCAGTGTCTTAGTAATCTTCACCTGATGACCGCAATAGACACGCAAGCAAACAATGGGAAAAATGTGGGAAGCGCTGTTTTCTGTGCGGCCCGAGCCCGTGCTGTATAAAGAGGATCAGTTGCAAGTCAGTCCGAGTAGGGTCCTAGTCAAGAGGGAGTCTTCAGGCAGACAGTCAGTTGAGAGAAGCTGGTAGCTGAAGGAACCCAGAGGAAGGGGAACGTACGTCGTTGGAAAACACTACCAAGCAGCACAGTGAAGATTGTGACTGAGAACACTAATCTGTGTGTGATAGTGATTTGTAAAGTGAAGTCATTAGTTGTGTATTAGAGTTTCCAGTAATTCAGGGAACAGGTCCTCCCGGAGGGACTTTAAACCGTGGGTCCCGTGTAGTAGATTTACGGCACGTAAAACATCCTCATGTCTCTAGGAGACCTCTGAGCAAAATTAGGCAACAATTTCCCGCCCAAGTAGTTTCCAATGCCTCTGGTAGATGGGGGAAATATCAGGTACCGACGGCCGACCTCGTTGGCTGAACGGGGCTGATAGCACGCACCACTACCGGTAGGGTATAGCGAAAGTAGAAATTAAAGGGGGACGCACAATGGACCAATAACTGGTCTAGGTGCATGGGGAAACCCACCCCTCTAATAATAATAATAATAATAATAATAATAACAATTCCGAATACCAATCCTAACCCCGTCTATAGTCACACTGAAACATGTGACAGTATTATTAATTATTCAGGACATTTCCCTCATGATGTCTCGAACAGAACTGCAGTACTCAGTTTGACACTATTCTTCCAAGTTTCCCCCATCGTTCCATAGCAACAGCTATGCACACAATATCATATAATTTCCTTTGGACAGAACTGGCGCAGATCCCGGTCAGACAGAAAGATATCCTCCGGGAAGTTTATAAGAGTTCCGTTCTTTGACACGTTGCCTTCTAAGCACAAGCATCTCGTACGTTCTTCAGTATTAGTTGTTCTGGGTTGCTTATAAATAAAGCAGAACATAACATACAGTATCTTCATCAAAAAGGGGTGAAATGAATTCTCAATATAGATTTTATTCAAGGGAAGTGGACCTAGAAATACTTTTGTGTTTATATGAATCAGAAGGTTTTGTGTTTAATTTTTGGTGAAGGTATTTCTTTTTCGAAAGAATTTAACATTATAATTCGAAACACAAAGGAAATTTGTTCTTTTAATTTCTTAGTGTATAATATTTGTGTTGTGATCTTCTACATGATGATATATTCTGTTAGTTCTCCTATAATGGTATTGGCGATTATGGTTGATCTATTTTGTGTGTCATATGGGAGTGCCCCATCTTCGCGTTGTCGTTCACTCGGTGTGGTTCTGTTTGCCAGAGACAGATCTTGGGTTCGAATGAACAAAACACCTGTACAGGATTAGTATAGAAAGAGCATTCGTCAGATACACTTCATCACTGGGGACAGTAAGGTTCGTTCTTTTGACAAAAGTTAATGTGGAAAATTTGCTCTACATTAGAGGACATGATAAGAAACTCAGTTGCAAAGATTAAGAGAACAGAAAAGGTACAGATTTAACCGTGAACCTGATATGGGTGTAGCACTGTAAGCGTGTATTCCGAAGAGAGAAGAAATTATGAAAAACAGGCTGACGCATGCAACGCATTATGTAAGTAAAGAGCTTTGAATAATTATTGTTTTGATTAACGTGGTATTAATATATTCAGCCCATATAAACTGTTATGTTGTTGTTGTTATTGTTTTATCTGAGTAATTTATAAAAGGCCTACATATTTGATTTCTTCCTTAGAGGAAAATAAATTTATTACTTTCGAGTATGCAAAACTCCCTTCGATGGGTGCATTGTTGTGATTATGCGTGACGACGAAAGCGAAAATTTTGGAAAGTAGACACTGGCTTACAGAATTTCCTATCAAGTTACATAATTGCCTGTATGTGAACATAGATACGGATTTTATATTGCTAAATATCAAACTTTGAATGTGCCTATTTGCAAAGAAGTATTTTTTTATTGCTAGTGGGGTGGGACTAAGTCCCTTGTACTGCGTCCACTTCTGTACCAGCCCCTAGATGATAGGTGGGGGTGATTGCGGAGCAATTGGTGGAATGAAGATTGGCAGGGGAAACCGAAGTACTCGGAGGAAACCTACCCCAGCGCCACTTTGTCCACCACAAATCCCACTTGATCAGACCCGGAATCAAACGCGGGCCGCCGCGGTTGGAAGCCAGCGACTAACCGCTTGAGCTATGGCGCGGCCCAAGAATCATTTCGTTCCTTAACTTATTGCTGTGAACACTACTGCATATTACTGTGACCAGGCACGACGGTACTAAATGAAGGCAATTTCCTCTGATTTGGAAAACCTACAACATTAAACACATAAATCCAGTGATCCCATATGTACACCTGCTTTAACGTATTAAAATTCTGCACTCTGTCCACAGAGTGTATTTGTGTGTTTATATGATTTTCTCAGTAAACAATTTCCATAATGAGTATTAACGGATTTTGGACAGGTTTTTGGTGGGACGAACACGTGTGACATAGAAGAGTTCTGTCTTCTGGGTTATAACACCCTGCATTGCGTTGAAAGTCAACCCTACGCTTCAGATGAACAGGTCGTCTCCATCTTTAGGGTCGAAGGCTCTGCTGTCCACCTGATTTCACATTAGTTTCTTGCTTGGGTTAGTCTTATACCCTAAAGATGGAGGCGACATGTTCCTCCGAAACGCCGGTTGAATTTCAACATGCTACACAGCGTTATATCCCAGAATATATAACTCTTCATAATCACCGCTGTAAGAGGTTCGAATCCTGCATGGGTATCCAATTCTACAGTCCATAGTCTGTTAAGGCGCGCGTTTAACATGTTCATGATTTCAAGCCTGCCTACATAACTTCATAACTACTTTACAAAATGCTCATGTTCAATAATCAAGCTATTTTATTTAAGTGGTATTTGTAGTAAAGGATTATTATTTGCTATTTTTTTATTATTCTCAGTGGGGTGATACTGAGTCAACTTCGTGATATGGCCACTATTGTCATGTATCAGCCCCAGATGATAGATGATGGTGATTGCGGAGCAATTGGTGGAATGAAGATTGACAAGGGAAACCGAAGTACTCGGAGAAAACCTGCCCCAGTGCCACTTTGTCCACCACAAATCCCACATGACCACACCCGGGCTCGAACTCTAGCCGCCGCGGTGGGAAGCCAGCAACTAACCGCCTGAGCCATGTCACGGCCTTAAACAAAGGATACATTTATTATGGTTTACCAGTGTAGGCAGGAATGGCGTAATCACAGCGTGTCTGTGTCGTGTGTATAAAAGTTTCGCATTAAAGCAGTGAGTACTTTGTTGGGAGACCTAAGAAATAGATTATAGTCAGTAAAGTTTGTGGCCATCAAAACCCACGTGATCTTTATGAAAACTCGACCCAGTTGTTACACTTATACACTGTCCCAATTCCATAAAACCTGATCGTGGGCAAAAGCACGTCGCGACAAATTAACCTAGATAATCTTACATTGCATGAATCCAATCAATCACAGTAAGAGATAAATCAGGTATGAAGGTAAGTGTACAAGGTTGAACGGTTAGAAAGTTATATGTATGTATAAGAGCATGAGCATTTTTCAAACAAATCTTTCACTTTGCGTAATTTAAACAAATAACTGAAATTTGGTACATTTTTTAAACCAAAGAAATCCTTAAATATGATTAACATCTCGTACTCAATGACTGTGAACAAAGTTATGAGAAGTGAATATCGTGTTTTGTGAAGCAAAATGTGTCACATTCATTGTACATTGATGTCAAATCAGATGAAACCTACTAATGGAACATCTCAAAATTAAAACAAAAGTTTAATGAGGTTGGCGTGTGATGTTCGCCTGTAAGCCTACTTGCTTGAGTGAACAATGTTTTCGTATGAGTGACGAAAACAGGCACGTGTCTTTAATGACGAATGTAGTATGACACAAGACTTGGAACCCAATATCTGCACGTCGAGTGTAAGTAAACTGTTTATTTCCCTAGAAAAACTTGATGAATGACAAAAGAAACGAGGCGATTACAGTTTTGCTCATGTTTTAGGTAGCAATGGTATAAAAATGATTCGTTATGGCGTATTTATTTACCCTTCGTTTGTTTAACGCTGTTTCAGTAGCTCAGATTATATTGCGTGGAGTGGTAGGAAGATAGGAAATAATGAATTTGAACTAATATGAAAGGAAACGGGCGTGGCGAAATTTAAGGCTCTATCTCAGCAGTTGCCTAAAGAGACAGGAAAATTATGAAAACCTCAAACAAATTTGCCTATGTCCGGACCGGGATTTGAACTCCTTCCTAAAAGAGAGCATGAGTATTAACCATTCGACCGTGTTCTTTGGGTTCAAGAAACCTTAAAAATATAATTTTCAAATAGCTGTAATTCAATTTTTTTCCCCCTTGGCACTACAGCCCCAGTGGGCCTAGGCCTACCTCCATGAACTTCTCCGTTCACTTCGGTTTTTCTAGATCTTCGACATACGGTAGGACTCCTTGGGCCGGTGATCAGCTCGTCGCAAGGCCTCTACCTGTACACAAACACAGAAAAACGCACACAAACATCCATGCCCTGAGTGGGATTCGAACCCACGATCCCGGCTTCCGAGCAAGCGAAGACAGTGCATGCCTTAGACCGCTCGGCTACCGTGACCGGCAGCTGTAACTCTTACAGCATATAAACATAAGCTATATATTAACTAATTCTCATACCGTAATAGCGAAAATCACTCGTTAGATGAAAGGCAATTGCCACCCGTCCGAAACATTTCTTATCCCACTGTGGCCTCTGTCCAGTATTGGGTCTGTGTCATACCTTGGCAGATCCTTTCTACGGCGGGAACGAAGTACTTGTCGCAGACAACCGCAAGAGCGACGAACAGGTAGAGGGACGCAATAACATGGAGGACGACGGCTCCATCTTGCCTCTGTCTTTCGGTGAACAGGTCTTTTGGGAAATCGTCGATCGCTGGAGGTGTGCAGTTCTGTGTGAAACTCTGGTCGTCCAGGCCTGCCAAAATTGTAATAGTTATAGTTACTCAAAAGTGACGGAAACTGTGTCAGAATTGATTAACTGACAAAATAGACACAATCCTATTAATGATGAGGCTAAATGAGGAACGGGAGAATATTAAACAAGATACATAGAAAACTGCAGATGAAGCTTTGGGGGTATGGAAAATATAGAAAGAAGATAAGTGAAAAATGTGGAAAGAAGGAATCGAAGGAAAAAGGATATCGTACACAAATTGCATTCAACAGCAAATAAAAGAAGTAAAGGCAAATGATAAAGCGAAGAGAAATACACAACATTAAAAACTGTGCCCCAAATTAAGATCAGTCTGATACATTTGTAAGTATGGTACAGCATTAAGAAATTGCATGGACTACAAAAGATAGCTTATACTCGTAAACTGATGAAAACCACGAGCTCTGAAGAATGAAATACCGAAATAATAAATGGGATATTTAAAAATGTTATATTTTAGCGTCCTGTTACACTGATTCATGTCCATGGTTTATGCTGACCGTCTTACAGTGTATACACTTTTTCACCTTATTCTTCACTTCCACACTACATGTTTCAGCACTAATGTGCTGAAGAGATCCAACAGTACAACGCATGCAGTAACAGGAGCAAAACACAACACAGAACACTATACACAAATATATGTAGGAAGAATGCTCACATAAAAGAGGATTGGCGTAATTCGCGTGTTTGAGTGCGACATAGGAAGAATTCTGAAAAGTTTTATTATTTAGAATTCATCGTCCTATATGACGAATACAGATTTTAGTCATTTTAGAATGAAGACATTATGGCATGCAGTACAATAGTTTAACGTGCATAAAGACACCTGAAGATGGCACATTAGTGCTGAAACATGTAGTGTGGAAGTGAAGAATAAGGTGAAAAAGTGTATACACTGTAAGACGGTCAGCATAAACAAGGGATATTTAAAGACAGATAGATCTATCATTTTAAAGATACTCAGAGGATCAAGAAGGAGAAGAAGAAATGAGTTTTGATTTGGTGGGTGTGCAATATTAGGGAACCGGAAGAGGCAGTAGAAGACGCAGAAAATCAGGCGACCCAGTGGCATAAATGCAGAGTTAAAATACGGATGATTAAAATTTAATCAAAAATATTTGTGCTTGATTAGCGCCTGTTAGCGTAAATTCCAGATGTTAATGAATGGCTTGATTCAAATGTAATTCCAGTATTTAACAAGAGTGCAAAATTATGCAGTGTACAATTAACAGGCGTGTTCTACTGTGACAATTAAGAAGCTCATAGGAACATCCACGCTCAAGTACTTACTGGTTACGGTAAGATATTTCACGTATACATTCAGATATGCTCAAAGAAATATTTATGCTCTTATTGTCCTACGTGATAGTGACCAGAAGTAGGGCTCGGACTGAGAGCTGGTTGATCGTGCTGCATATGTTTCTATCGGTGATTGATACTCGACGTTGCCTAGCAGTGGACATCTCTCAATATTCCTCTGACTTGAAGATTCTGTCTTTTAGGCGTCATGTCACATACCGTATTTACGCATGTATAGGCCGCGTGCGTGTATAGGCCGCAGCACAATTTTCAGACAGAAATTATAGAAAAAATAATTTTCTTGGAATATTATTTCAGGAGTAGAACACCCTGTATTACTAATTATGAATATATATTTTTTTAAATGAAGTGTGATTTCGAATATAAGCCGCACCCCAGTTTTTCTCTTGAATTTTTGGCAAAAAATGTGCGGCCTATACATTCGTAAATACGGTATATAAGTAAATAGAGTACGATCGCCAGAGAGCCTCCCCGCAATTCGTTCGGCCGCTCCGTGGGAAAGACTCGGCTCTTGAGGCGCACCGATGCACGCGAAGCACTCGGACAATCGCTCTGTGTGCTGTGTATATACGGAGTATGTGTATACATGCAAGTTGATGTATAAATCCAGCTTCCGTTACAGCATTCGTTCATTTGTTATCGAGAACTAGAGACTTTAGTTACCGCGCCACAGCTCAAGCGGTTAGTCGCTGGCTTCCCACCGCGGCAGCCCGGGTTCGATCCCGGGTCTGGTCAAGTGGGATTTGTGGTGGACAGAGTGGCGCTGGGGCAGGTTTCCTCTGAGTACTTCGGTTTCCCCTGCCAATCTTCATTCCACCAATTGCTGGACAATCACCCTCACCTATCATCTGGGGCTGGTACAATAGGCCAGAAGTGGCCGCAGTGCAAGGGACTTAGTCCCACCCCACTAGCAATAATAAAATTACCTTCGCATGTGTTCGGTAAGCCTTTGTTGACTGTCCAGTGACCTTAGGGAATGTTGGCAAGAAAACAGTTTTATTGAATATACAAGTTCGGAAATAAACGCACCGCACATTCATAAATAGAAATATTATCATGATTTCAGAATATATTTTATTAGAAAGCAAGAAATTTTCAGAAGAAGAAGTTATAGAATTACTATATTTTATCTAAAATTTGTTGAGAGTAGAATAGAATATAGTTAGGGAACGCATAGATTTAGAACACTCATATCTTAGAGTGATTATGAAGACGGCATACAGCGGGAAAAGGAGGATATTCAGATTTCTTGATTACCCTATTGAAGCGAAATGCAGATCGGCAGAAAGCAGCATGCGAATGGAATGCGCGCAACAGAAATGAGGCGTTCGAGGACAGTTACGGGATGTGATGGGCATGACAAATCAGGAAATTCAGACATTTTAACTGAGTTAAACGCAATACAATTAATTATTGAAAGAATGAAATATAAATCAATTATTTCGTGCAGCCAGAATGCATAAACCGAATGAAATTTTAGAATACCTACCAAAAGGAAAAGAAATTCTCGGTAATCTCAAAAGATGAGTAGAAGACGCCGGAAGAGGTTACATACTAAGTATGTGAGGAAGGAAAAGACAGATTCGAAAAATGAATTAAGATCTAAACTTGACTTACGCATGCACAAAATTGGGGTCTGATGAGGATATAAATTTGATGCCGAAATATATAAACTTTATTTGGTTACGAAAAGTTCTTTTTCGGATATATAGTACATTTCTTTCTCATCAAGGAGGAGTCTTCTTCACGGAGCTAATAATACATTTTCCTTTTTCTTAAGTCTGATAAACAGACCTTCCGAAGTACGCGCCGACTTGCCTTGAAGTGTCTCAGTCATAATCCTGCGCTCCAGACATGAAGGTAGGTGGCTGTTGTCACAAGGCTGGCATAGGGTGACCGCTAAATCAGCCTCAATAACTTTTCATTTAATTTACTGTAAGATTTCAGTCGTGGCTTCCCGAGATCAATGTAATTTTTACGGAAGCTGTGCGTGTTAAATCTTAGTAAATTTGTGTTTGTCTTTGTTAACGGACGACCGAGGAAGATGAAGATTTCTGTCTTCTGGGACACAACGCCATGTAGTCCTTTGAACATCAAACGACGTTTCGAAGGAACATGTATCTATTTTCATGGTTGAAGAATAAGTCAAGTAAGGCCTCGAAGACGGAGGGGACATTTTCCTCCGAAACGTCGCTTGAATTTCAGCGGACTACAGGTTGTTAGATCCCAGAAGACAAAACTCTTCATAACCATCTCTACGAGAACCTCAGTTCTGACCACGAAAGATGAGTAACTCTTCCAAGCGACGGGCAGGAAATGGTGCATTTCGCGGGAAACTTGGGCTCCGACAATAAGAGAGAAACATAAACTAATGATGTTTGAGAACAGGGTGCTTAGGAGAATATTTGGACTGAAGAGGGATGAAGTGATAGGAGGTAAGAGAAACTGCAATAATGAGGAGCTTCATAACTTCTATTCTTCGCCAAATATACCTAATGAGAATGATGAAGTCAAGGAGAATGCAATGGGCCGGGCGTGTAGCACGAATGGGAACGAAGAGGAATGCATACAGGGATTTGTAGGAAAGTCAGAAGGAGACATATCAGTAGGAAGAGCTATACGTAGGTGGGAGGATAATATTGAAGGGGATCTCAGACAGAGAGTATGGGACTATAAGGACTGGAATGATCTAAATTAGCATAGGGATCAGTAGCGGACTCTTGTGAATACAGTAATGAGCCTTCGGTTTCCATAAAATGTTGGGAAATTTTTGAATAACAGAGCAACTTGTGGCTTCTCAAGAAGTACTCAACTCCACTGAGTTTTTTGGACTTTCTCCACCATCCGGTATTCTAGAAAAAAGAAACAACACGACGTTTCTGAAACTGGATCTATTTCCGTCCTCAGATGAGGGGGAGACACCTACTCACCTGGACCCCTTAGAAAGAGATAATCTCAATCTAAGGAGCCCAACTGAGTAGATATCTCCCCCGCCCCTTACCTGAGGACTGTAACAGATCCAGTTTCCGAAAAGTCGTTTTTTTTTTCTATTTTCTAGAATACAGAACGATGGACAAAGTCCAAAAACCCAGATATCCTTTGTATTATGCAATTATGCGATCCATCGTCAGAACCATTTAGAATCTATTTCCACTGAGTTATTTAGTCAGTGAATTAGTTAGTTAGTTAGTAAAGTAGCAAAAACTCACAGACATTGTGAACAGTCAAGTTCAAGCATCATCACAATCTTGCAGTTCTATTTCATTGGCTCGACAAGCTTTCAGTTACCCACCTTCTTCATATAAACTTAACAAAAGAGAAACTAAATTAATTAACGGAGGGAAAAATGATAGAGAAACTAATGAATGAAGGGATGTGTGAGAGAATAATATAAAAGAAGGAGAGAGTAGACGGATCTCCGTATCTGTGGCTCTTCCTAAGGCACAGTCACTGCCCTGCCTGTCCAGCGAATTACTTACAGTTTGCCCACGTCGATGACACAGTACCACTCTGCATTACACAGTACCTGTACTGTCTGTCTGGCTTCACCAACTCCTACCCCGTTCCCCTCGTCTCACACCACAGAACATTCCTCTGGGCTTTCCCTTTCACAGTCTCAGTACCATTGAAACACAGCGTTCCGTCACGGAAGTTTTCTT